GCTATAATATTATCGTATGTGCTTACTTTAATTTTTTTACTGCTTCTTTTTCCTCTATTTATCCTTTGTTTGTAATTTTAAGAGAGAAGAAGGGATGATTGCCCTTGTACATGAGAGGATTATCTATATTTGTAATGTTTCCATATCCCTTTATGTTATCGTTCAACCCAAAGGATATTGCTGTCCATTTAAAAGAAATTTGATCCAAAAAAGTTCCTTTTCTATTAATGTGGTTTTATCATTAGACTTCATACAGTCTAGTACTTGTACCGTTATACCTTTATCACATTTGTAAAAGTGATTATATAACGGTGTGTGTACCTTGTGTGAAAAAATATTAGAAAGATGTTCTCCAATTCTTTCTTTTAATTTTCTTACTGTCATTCCAACATACTGTATCCCACAGCCATTGCATGTTAAACAGTAAACTACATTTTTAGCGTTACAATCTGCATCTGTTTCTTTATATGTGTTAATGTATAAATTTGTAACGTTTGATACAATGTAATTATCTGTATTAGTTATATCACATGTTCTACACTTTCTTTTACATTTGCAACCCTTGTTATCGTTACCAAAGTCGTTGAGTTTGAAGTGATTGGCCCCACCCCTTACCTTGTGGAACCGGGTGGTGGAGTAATAATTTGTAGCGCTGACTTTCGCATTTTTTGACCTAAGATCTAAGCGCATGAGCGGTCAAACCCATACGCAGAGAGCAGACTTCCCGAAGGTTCGGCAGGGCTGCTGCCCAGGGGGTGGCTCTCCCTGCAAAACTACCAGCGCTGGGGGCGCCAAAAACTGTCCACTCTTGCCGTTTTTGACTTGTATAACCCCGTCAGCGCTAGTCCCTATTTTTTTGAAGAGGTATGGCCCTCTTTTTTGAGAGGCATGGCCCCTCAGTGTGTTAATGATAGTGTGTGAGAAGTATGGGACATGTTAAATAAACAAAGCAATTTCCCTTTTCACCGTTCAACACTCGCAGCGAGAACGACTGGGTATTTATTCTGTACGTCATAGTAAATGCCAAAGCATTTCAGATAGGAAAGTCTCTACGAGCTGATGAAGAACCGTCACCAGAACTTTCAGCTTATAAACTGAGCGCGGGCTTCGCGATTGGATTGATTTGTCTCGGTTTAGGTAATCCTTTTGTGTGGTTGAGGTTATTTTTTTATTGCTACTTGTGCAACATTTATTAGGCTGAAAAGAAAGTCCTGTCAGTGTTTTTAAGAAGCTTACAGTTTTTGATTCTTGATGCTAGAACACGACGTAACATGCTTTGCTTATAGAACATTCAAGGAGCTTTCCTGCAAGAGGTGTGTGAGGGCGCCTGCTCTTCCCTGGGTTAAATTACGATGTCAGTTTCACACGAGCATTTTCGGGTCATCATTCTATCAGAGGCCCCGCGGCACTGGAGCCACGGCAGCTGTACGCAAGATCGACTATGCATTGGCGGAGGACAACCACTATCACCATGACCGTCCACATTTGGTTCGCTCGCTTCGCGAAAGGAGGCGCGATCCTCGAAGACAAACCTTGGTTGGGACGGCCCCACGGATCCACCATTTCTCAAAGCAGTCAAGGAGGATCCGGAAGCTACCACCCGCACTTTTGCGGCAAGGCTCTGCTGTACCTAACTGACAGTCGTCAACCGCCTGTAGGCCCTTGACTACCGAAAAGTACTGGCTCGATGGATCACTCACACCTTGACCGATGGCAGGTTGTGCACCCGGGTACTCCTTGGTCAGTCTCCCCTTCTCCGCCCTCGTCAAAAGGAGTTTATGGGAGACTGCTTAGTGGAGGGCTCTGGGACGCGGGGGAATGCTGCACAACGAGCTGGCCCTGTAAGAACACACACAGTCACCGCTACCCATTTAATGTCGCTACAGCCTCCGGAAAACCGGTGAAAATGTTGGAGAAAAAGGCCGAGACTAGCTCGGGCACTGTTCGTAGTACGCGAGACCCCATACCTGGTATGGAGACCTACCAAATAATTGAGGAGCAAAGCTTGCACGTCAAGGTAGAAGCCATGTACGTGTATATTGTAGTCATTGTAAAACAGTGTGGAATGACTGAAAAATGTTTTGTCTTCAGGTGATGAAATAGCAGCTGCTAGACCACCATTCAAACAACCGCTTCCTTCGATACCAGATCGTCTGCTGGCATTGATGCTTGGTGGTCCTAGGGTAAGCCTTTGTCATTTGTTAACTTTCATTGTGCATTTCCACCCCACTATACGATTCGATGGAAGTTTCTGGAAAGGTTGAGTAGTGTACGCTCAAGAACTGCTCAGTTAGCCGCAGAAGTACAACCGCATCGTGAGTTTGAAATGGTGGTGCCAGCTCGACCCCCCTCCCCTCGAGGGAAGGTCTTGGTACGATGCCCCACCTAAATCAGGGTATCGGTACAACTCCCTAGCAATTTTCAGTTTTTCCACTCACAAAAGACTTTTTTCTTCGAGCTGTGCGGCGTGGATATATATAGCCAATACGAAACGGAAAAAACTCGCTTTTTTTAGATTTTCTGCCATTCCTCCACCTGTTTCCAAAATTTCGACCAAAAATTCCCTACTTTCACGCAAAAATTTTGCTGTCCATCGGGGTGCGGGGAGGGGGAGGATGGTGGAGAAGAGGGTGGTAGTGAGGGGGGGGGGGATAAATAGTACATAAACAGGAAAGATCAACGCAAAAACCAACAACACGGGAAACTTTTTCCAGCGCAGGCAAAATTCTGTCAAACCCACATAACGACCGTCCCCTTTCCCAACAGACGACCAAATACGAACCCACGTCCCCCGAAAGTACGACCAGCCCCTATTGTTTCACACAAGATGCTGTACTCTGGTTAGCCGTTTCGCGGAAGCATGAGAGATGAGAGGCAAAATGGTGTGGTAGCCGTAAGGACTTCGAGCCGAGAGTCTTTGCTTAATGAGGGGATTGATTGGACTGATGTGGTTTCCGTCTTCCCCCTTTTACTTCCCAAAATACAAGTACATCCACCCTGAACAAACGGATAGTGTGGGAACGGTAGGATCTGGTTCCGTACTACTCTGCTTCGCGGGCTAAAACTTTCTTTTCACTGAGGAAACTGTCTGAAAGCTCTCCTGTCGAATGGTCCATGTTCGACTCTCCATTAATCTTGGCATTGCCATGGCAAAACTAAGAAGTGTTCTCTGAGCTACCTGAGATTAGTAACAAATCCTTATCCTCCACATCTTTTCGGCATATTTAACCTTCTCGCCGCTTGATGCGGGGTCTGTTTCGGAAAATAATCTCCCCTAATCCATCTCCAGTCTCGTTTTCTAGTTACAAAGTGGGATTCAAAAGATGAACACGTGGTGATGGAACCATGTCGCAAGTAAAGCTATCCTGATATCAATTTTTCAACTAGCACGCTGGGTGAATAGCGACTTGCATATGTGTGTCATGATCCTTAAGGCAGCGTCCGCGTTCAGTTGAGATTTTCCTCTCTCTTCGTGAGCAGGTAGTCAGGTCCGCTGAGGCAACAACTACACCATTTTCGCGGCGCAAAAACGCGTGAGGAGAGCCACGATGCCGTCGTTCTTATCATTGACCCAACCTACTAATTATTGGCAGCCGCCGCACCATTTCATTTCTAATGGTTACCTGATGGTGCGGTTGTTTCGCTGCTGCTTCTCTCCACGTCGAGTGGTGAGAGTGAGGTGATAAAGGGAAAACAGCTGATATCAAGTGAGAACTCGTGCGATCGCACCTTCTCTTCGCCTTGAGCACGTACAACCTCAGTTAAGCAAGGGGTTCTATATAGAGCCTTTCCTATGATTTCTTTCTGATTTTCTTTACTGAGGGGTTAATTGCCACCTTGTTATAAGTATTTGAGCCGCATAACTCATCAAATTTGAATGCGGGCTCAGCCTTTAAATTGGCGGGACGTGTTCAGGAATTTAACAGGCATTTGAAATTCCTTTCTCCTTCGCGAACTACGTCAAATACGATCGCCTCGATCCAAGCAATATCGAATACGATCTCACCCTCTTTTCTCCCGCTTCATGGTGTCCCCATGCGGAGGGTTTGCCCCGCAGGCTTTCAGAAGGGCTAGTACCACCTGAAGAGATCCCACCGATCCTAACAAGTAAGGTTCAGAGGGAGCTGAAAGAAGGACTGTGATCGCGTTGCAAGCTTGTATCATTGTTTGCTTGTAGAGATGCTCGTTGTCGGCTAATTGATGGTAGTTCTCCAAAGTTGATTTCACCTTAATTTCAGACCTAATTTCAGAACCAATGCGTCTTTATTCATCCTCAACTGATTTCTTGTCCAGATGTCAACACTGCAGCTCCTACTCCTCCGCAAGAGAGCCGTTCGAATCATGTTAGGGTAAGAACGTTCACACGCTCTTCAGATTTTATTGATTACTCGGCAGGTTGGCACTTGGTACACAGTATTACAAGAGCTGTAGTGCTGTCATGATTCCTGCAAACGAAAAGGGTGTGACGGGAGGACTGGAGCGCTGACAGATGTCTCTTGCCGGTAAGAAAAGATGGTGGGAAAGATGTCTTGGCTGCGCTCCATTTGCACGTCCCTTCACACGTCCTCTCGTTTGCAGAGATCATGACTGCATTTGTCGGGTGTGATTATGAGAAGTCAATCTGAGGACTGATTTACACAGCACTGTGGCTTCAGGAGGGCCCAAATGTGAATGTGCACATGACAGCTCATCCAGCCACCATCGCCCTAGGATTGATGTATATGCGAACGGGTAATATGGCGATTGCGAGGGAACTGGAGTTACCGGCTACAATTTCGATGCTGGAAGAAATTCGGCCTGACGTGGTCAGTGCTAATTGGTGGTTTTACTTCAAATATTGCAAATTTTTATGGTAAAGCTTTGAGAAGCTTGCGATTGTGAAGGCCTTGGCGAACCATTCTAAAAATACAACCAGTCGATCCGACCGGTATGCTTAAGTTATTGCAACATATAAGCGAGGTGATAAAGTATCATTCCTCCTGCTGTGGTGGATTGCTCTGATGTGGTCGTTTCACCGTGTTCTTCATCTTCTCCTCCTGCCGACACTTTGCCTAGCCGAATACCCTAAGATTGATGATGAATTGATTGCGAAAGCCAAAGCTGGGCAGTGGATTTATCTAGGTGATGAAGACGATACAATGATCAAGGTGGGTGTAACGAATCTGCAATAATACATTTTAAGGGTAAAATACTTAGTTTTAACCCAAGTTATCCGCAGATTGTGAGGATGCAAAACGTTTTCCACAAGGACATCTCATACGGAGAGGCTGAACAGTTTTGTGAAGAAGATCGGGGGCACTTGCTGTCTGTCCGATCACAAGAGGAGGACACATATATATCAGGTAATGAATCGTCTCACCGACCTGATGAACAGGGAAATTTTGAAATTGTCACTTGGGCACATTCGCTGATCTGATCCTTTTCAATGATCAACCTGCTGGGAATTTAATCGATCTATGAACAATTTGATTTCGGTGTCTGGAGCAAATAATTATTTGACATCGTTATAAATAAATAAATAGATCCCTTTCCTATTCGGCTGCATCGCCAGGTTGATGTGAGCGCATTTGACTTCGTTGATAACATTAGTAGTCTTTCAGTAACTATTTTGAATTAAAGACATGTCCCGCGATCTTCAGGGTAGTACAGTTCACAAGCAGAGAGGATGCAGGGAGGAGAGCTCGGAAATACATGATAGGGAGGTGGGGCAGGGGAGAAAACGTAGTCCAGTCACTGCCCCATACTATACCCGACGTTCATTTCCAGTGGCACTCGGTGGTGTAGTTGTTATCCTACCGACTCTTATCATCCTGAATGATAAGAGTGAAATGATAAGGCAACAAGTGAGAACTCGTCCAGACACGTCCATTCTTCACTGTTGGCTCACATAAGCTCGGATTGCTACGGGCTTCTGTCTCGAGCAGTCCATAAGATTCTTTTTGCTCTTTCTTCATTACTCAATGAGGAAAGATCAGAAATCT